AAGGAAGGTGTATAAGAGTCATCATCACACAATAATATATACAGTTATTTCTTAGATGTACATATTTATCAACTTATAGTGCCGACAGTCCGCGTTACTCTTGCTTACTATATTTCAAAATGTAAATGTTAACCTAGCACACAAATCGTGCGATAAAACGAAATTTCAGTAGAGCTCCTCTGTTTACTGAAGTGTTTTTGTACACTTCTAAAACATAACAACAAAGCATTAACTGGTTTTGTATGAGCAACAACCATAATATGTCACTTACTATTTTATTATCTATAGTTGTTACAAGCGGCCAGAAAATGTGATATGGAGACAATGTCTAAACTTCTCGGCGAATGGAGAAATATTGATCTCTCGTTTACAGATGATGTAAGTATTAATTTAAAAAGAAAGTCCAGATTCTACCCCCCCCCCCCCCCCCCCCCATAAATATCAGTTAGAGAAACAAAAACCATGCATTATTTACTCTAAACGTGATGAGTCTAGGGGTATTCCAAACAGGTCTGTAAAACACGGACGGTATGCAGTAAAGGGTAAAGATACAGGGTATACAATATGAGACATGTACTACTGTAACAAGAGATTTGCATTACGGGAATGTGATACATGGTATACAATACGGAACTTTGATACAGGGATTTCAAAACGTGACATGTGATACAAGGTATGCAATACGTGACATGTGATACATGGTATACAATACGGGACATGTGATACATTGTATACAATACGGGACATGTGATACATTGTATACAATACGGGACATGTGATACATTGTATACAATAAGGAACATGTGATACAGGGTGTGCAATACGGGACATGTGAAACATGGTGTGTAATACGGGACATTAATACATGGATTTCAATACGGAACATGTGATGCTTCGTATGCAATACGGGATATGTAATACGGGAGAATAGCAATACGGGAATGTGATACATGGTAAGACGGCGTGCACAAAGTTGACGGCAACTGTAAAATGCGCTTTTAAAACTAGTCTTATACAACCGTGTTTAAAATATCTTTTGAATAGGAAGTTTTTTTTATGATAAAATATTGAATGCTAGCCATTAAAATCCACATTACTAGTAAGGTTATCAAAATTAAATCTATAAAGTATGAAACAACTATAGAGAAAACGGCAAAAATATGTGAAACTTGTAACACTGAATAAGCATAAAATAGAGTTTTTGACCTAAAATTTATACAAATTCAACATATTTTCCCGCATTTTCTTATAATAGAATTTTTCGGATTCGGACTATTACGTCAGACGAAATTCAATGCAACAAAATTCAAAAACGGCCATGGAAGATGAGTTTGGAATGTAGTTCGTTATGTGTAAGAAGTAGTAATTTGGAAGGATTAATATTCGAAAATGTAAGAATAGGTCAGAAAAATATGTAATTGCTATTTTTTAATTTCGAAATAACTTGATATCCCATATGTGCATAACAAGAGGTTTAAAAAAATCTGTAAAATATGAATGATTCGATAGTCCAGGCTGAACACCTGAAAATTTTAAATATCCAGCTATTATGTTACAATTTAAAGAAATGACGTTTTAACGCTATTTTCTGAATAGGGTCCACGACATAGTCGCTTATTGTTTCCGTTAGACTGCTCTTAGCATATATTTATTTATATTTCCGGAATGTGTATTTGCTGCACTTTGTTGTTCGAAAAATAAAGAAATATGTTTAACGTTTATGTTTAAAGTTATGTGATAAACTAAGTGTCCAGTGTTTTTGTTATGCGTTTGTTTTCTGAGGAAAAAATGTCGACGTCGTAAATGATTTAGTATTTTGAAGACGTTACGTTTGTAGACTCAGCTATATGCACGCCGTCTGTACAATACGGGACTTTGATACAGGGATGTCAATATGGGATATGTGATACAGGGTGTGCAATACGGGACATAAAATACATGGTATACAATACGGGACTTTGATACAGGGATTTCAATACTGAACATATGATACTGGGTATGCAAAATGTAATTCAAGGTAGGAAAAATTGGTTTCAATGTATCTACTTTATCATCAGATATTCAAAACAGCGGTTTGAACTGTTATATGATAAAAACCTAATACGTAAGCTCTGGTAATATCGCAATTAATCCACGCCTATAAATGTCGCTTCAGATGTTGTTTCATATCGTGTCAGAACAAATTATATGTGTAAATTTTTATTCTAAAAGTCATGAGTTTTTCGCTCTTTTTAGGCCGGCAAGACTCTACTTCACCATTGTACTTCAGCAGGAGATAAGGAGAATTCATTGCTTTTGTTAGACCGAGGAGCGCCACCAAACAAATCAGATAACGTAATTACATCTTTATTATAGTTAATTTTCTTTTTAAACAACGATATACAATTACAATGTAATATGTACTATAATAGCACCATAAATAGATAAATTAACATCGCATATATTACTTATAAAACGAAACTCAGGGACGATTTCAGTAAAAAAAAAAACAATTCTGTATTTGAACTTTAATCATAATGAGAAATACAGATTGTTATAGTGAACCAATCATAAATGATCAAAATTCTTATTTAACATTTTTTTTTCTGTCTGCTTTGACATCATCTGACAAAAAGGTGAACAAAACTAACATAACTAAAGATTTGTTTTGTTGCAAAGAAAATGTCCACTATATTATATTACGAACACTAAAATCATGCTTACATTTTCAGATGGGAATGACACCATTACACTATGCCGCTAAGAAAGATTTCACAGACATTATTGAATCCTTGGTGACTCATGGCGCGGCTGTTAATGCCATTGAAACGGTAACTCTTTTATTTATAAAACAGTGTTACGTGTAAGCAAATAGAAAAAAAGTCGGCATTACAAATTGAATGAATAAAAGGAGATGTAGGGTGTACATTAAGGAGACAGAAATTCAGTGACAAAAAAAACCAACATGCTACATCTACATTTACAGGTCAATATACGGTAATCGACAACAAACAAGTGTCTAAACAATATGTCAAGCTCTTAATCGCCAAAAGCCTAGAAATGATGCCAGTCAACAGTCAGACAATCAAAGGTCTGCCATCAACACCAAATTCGCCAAATAATTTAAACAATAACATGATTATAAAATATAGAAAAGACAAGCACGGATGAGATCCGTCGACTAGTTTAAAGAAAAGCATGCTATTAGATACACGAAGATAGCATAGAATTAAAGCGACAAGATTACGTATCAAACACTAACAAATATATTGAGTCAATCAAAGAGCAGAGTTAGACGTATCTAGGGACTGCGTGGCCGAGTGGGCTAAGTAGTCCAACTACTGTATCGCTAGCCTGTCAACACTGAGGTTGTGAGTTCGAACCCCGCACGTGGTAGGTGCATTCGACTCCAATCTTAATTGACAAGGATTGTCAGTTTTCCTGCCGAAGGTCGGTGATTCTCTCCGGGCACTCCGACTTCCTTTACCAATAAAAACTGACCGCCACGAAATAGCCAAAAGTGCTGAAAGTGGCGTTAAACGCCAATCAATCAATCAATATATTTACGATTCATGTAACTTATAAAGATAAATCAGAGAGGATATATATTAGGTTTGCTAAAATATATTTCGTGTTGTTGACATAATTATAGTCGGAAATTTTTAAATAGACTCTGGACAATTTAAAATTTAGTATATGGATAAAAACTTGTCTATAATTCGCCTATAAAGTACAAATATCGTCCTCCTGATGTTTTTCCTAGCATTGCTGCGTTTTAAGGTGGATTCCTTATTGAAGTAATCCCTACATGTCTGATTCAAATTCAAATCAATCTTGTGTTTAACTTTTTCCGTAATAAATCGGTGGAGTTTGTATTTTACCAATCGCTTATGTTTAGTTTTCGTTACATTAAGTTTCATTTCGGAATTTTTCTCCGCAGAAAACTGCACAGACAGCATTACACATCACTGTATCGAAGAATTTTCTGACAACAGCTCAATTTTTACTGTTCAGCGGTGCCGATGCCTCGATGAAAGATAAGGTAATCTTTTTCTCACTTTTCATGATAATTTTATTCCTATTGTTACAGAAAACAAGGATTTGTATACACTATACAAATCCTTGCAGAAAACAATATGAAACATGATAAGAAATGAAATGCGATAACAATGAAATAAAATAAAAAATAAAAAAAATAATAGCAATCACGTGACAAATGAAGAAGAAGGAAATGAAAATAGATTTCAAATATGAAATATATCTAGATTAGATCTTTAATAGCATATTCCGTATATCTATACCATGTTGGGTCTATTTTAAATACCAAATTAATGTTTTCCAACTTGTAACAGGTCAGTTAATGTCCCCTTTTTCATAAAGAAAGTAACAAGATATTCATTTATTTATATGTTTGCGCTAAGACTACCTTACTTACAAATATATGTGTTACGTACATATATGTGCACAGTAAACAATTTTTCAATTAGATTTGCGCAATCTACCGTTTAAAAGACACAATGGGAACATTTAAAGTATGTGTAAAATAGTAAAAAATCTGGTTAAATCGAGTTTTATACGTACTCAATGTTCATGAATGTAGCGTATGAATTCCTAATATCTTGACCAAAAAATATAAAAAAATGGATATAGTACGACTTGAAGAATAAAATGTCAGTTACATCTTTAAGTGATTGGTTAATACATAGTGGAGATGTTACTGTAGATTTCTTTGTTTCAGTAAGTTATTCAATGTCTTATTAATAATTAAAATTCCACAGGAATTTCAATCAATTAACTTCAGTATCTTTTCATTCTCCGGAATCTCTGTTTTTCCAATGCTTCTCAACTTCGTTTGGTTTTCCAACTGTTTTGATTCAAGTGTAACTGTTGGGTCATATGTAGACGAAACACGCGTTTGGCGTTCTTAATCATAAGCCTGGATACGATGGATAATCATAAGCCTGGATACGATGGATAATCATAAGCCTGGATACGATGGATATGTGCCAATTCTCGTAACCACAAACCTGTCTTTTTTTCTTCGAATGTGACCTACCAAATTAGAATTATCGCCGGGTATGTACTAACATGAGCAACACGACGGGTACCACATGTGGATCAGGATTTGCTCACCCTTCCAGAGCACCTGCGATCACCCCGGTTTTTGGAGGGGTTCGTGTTGTTCAGTTTTTAGTTTCTATGTTGTGTTTTGTATACTGTTGTTTGTCTTTTGGTCGTTTTTCGTGCCACGGCGTTGTCAGTTTGTTTCGACTTTTGAGTTTGAATGTCCCTTTGGTATCTTTCGTCTTTCTTTGCAGAGAAGATCAATACTAGACACTCGAGGGATTAACGTATTGTAACTATATAGGCTATCAAAGATTTTGAAGTGTAATGTATTCACTAAAACAAGTATAACACCGTCATTCATACATGTGCTTGTTCTTATAGCATTTTGCTTATTTTCTCCTGGATATCTACAAAATATGTTTTGATGTGTGGTTACCTATACTGGAGTGGTTTTACAACTGGTTACATGAACAGTTCCATGTGTAGGGAGAGCTGCAATTGTTATATCTGTGGTGTATCTACACGCACTCTTTTAAACTTTATTGAAAGATCACGTATCTGTAAAAATAAAATAAAAGCACGTTGTGTATTTAAAGTCCAAAAAGAATAAAAAAAAAGCATGCTCTAGAATAAACAAAGTAAATCCTGTTTTCCGATTAAAAAGACCACAAGAATAAAGGACGGAATACAATTGTATTACGTTTATGTGACGAAAATGAAGAAAGAAAAACAGTTTATTGATATGAACATTTAAATAACAAATATCTTAAACATACATAATTCAATATGTTCAGAAAGTTTATTCTAACTTTTTAGACAATTTGATAAAATTTATATTTGTACAATAAATCGGTTTAATAAAAGGTAAAAGGTACACAATCGCCTACTGAAAATGTTCTCTGTTCACATAAATTATGTTTACAATTGGTAACAATAAAACAGAATTATCAAACAATCCAGTACCTAGTAGCTTATACATGTTTCATTTCAATATTTTCGCTCTGTAAAGTTGTTACTTTTATCATTATTACAAATAACACTTAATTATATTGTTTTACTTTGATATTGAATTCTAATATTTTGAGAGTATTTCCCTAAATGGGAGCTATTGAATTCAGTAATTTATCAGAATATCCAGCATTTTGTGTTGACGAATTCCCAGAGGATATTTATTCGTAAATTATATATTGATGCTAGTAAAGTTTCATATTTTAAACAATGATATACTAAATACGTCAATTTCATACAACTATAAGTGAATACTTTCTAAAATGGATGACTGGGATATTGAAGACGATTTAGATGAGTTGTTACCGGTAAGTTATTTCAATTTTTGGACAGAAATTGAATGGTCTTAAAAAGATTACCGATGATAAGTGAGGGAAACAAAATTGAAAAGACAAAACAATATCGAAACTACTCAATAAAACCTACAAAATATGAAGATTATACCAGTCAAATCTGCGTTCAGATTACTTCAAGCTCTCCCAATTAGTATATCTTTATTTCAATAAATTCGAAAAGTTATCTGCTCTCAACCTTGGTCCTTTGGTGGTTACTCCAATGTATTCTATAAATACAAGGTTGCCAAATACTTTTTTAAAACGAAAGTCTGCAAGAATTTTAGAAAATATATGAAAGAGAAATTTTTACGTCTTTTTAAACACATCGAAGCTAAGATCTAGGGAACAAATCGGGACATTGTCCATGCATTTTGACCCTGTGATCTTAAGAAATGCTGGAACGCTGCCAATCCACCAAAGTAAAGCTATGTCGTATAGTAATTATTTCATATTGTTAATCGATCATTCAGTAAATTAAATTTTTCACGAAAACAGAAATCCCCTTTGATCATTCCATGGCTCATAAAAAATAAACAACTGAAACGCAAGAAGTATAGAAAAAAAACAAGAATATCACAGTTACCCAAAAGAAGCAAAATAACTTAAATGAATTACTAACACATAAAATGAGCTTTTTGCATACAGTTTTCAGATATCAAGATATAAAAATTTATTAGCACGCGCTTCCGCATCATTTCAGTAGGTGATTTGACATTTTCAATTATAAATGAATTGTTTTTTTTGTACTGTTCGTGTCATTGTAGTAAGAAACCATCAAATATTAATTAACGGTATCCTTTGTTTCAAAAACGTGGAACAGAACAACTTAGCACACAACGCTTTGCATAGCGAGACTCCGTTGTAGGATGAACCAGGTAGAAAATCATATCCTTATGCTGTCTGTACCTCAGACCATAATAATAAGTTATAATAATATTATCAGGCTACGTTAAGTACATGAAACAGGTCACACATATATCGCTGTAAAATATAGTTTTATATTTTCAGCAAGGGAAATCACCAATAGCATTATGCAGATCAAAAGAAATGCGGAACTTGCTTGCAGGTTTTGCTCAGAGTACGCAAGGTGGTCTTAGGTAAGTTATTGTCGTTCATTTATTTTGAAGATCAAATGGCACACAGTTGTATAATGTCAGTAAAAATTATCGAAGATTTTAGCATTTATACTGTTTGAAATACATGTAAATATGTGTAATTGTGTAACTTGCGTATCATATTAGTTACATAGTGTACTAGTGACCTAATACGATATAAATGGGGTCAGTAAATTCCATATTAGGTCACTAGCACACTGTGTAACGAATTTATCTTACCGACTATCTTAACATGTGGCATTTAGACTATTGGCCTATCAAAGTAATCTTCAATATAGAGAACGTACTTCGATTGGTCTATACAAAAAAACAAATGCCAACAATAACAACTTGTTAGCTTTTAATATGTTTTCTGCATTTACTTCAATCGTTCATCATCAATTTCTTCGTCTGTTGAAACCTTTCAGATTTTCCCTCAACACCGTGTTGCCGATTTTACAAAGGGACGTAACACCACTACTAACAGTATATTGAAATAAACCATGCCTACTAACCCATATGAAATATACACGATCACCACGCGGTTGCTTTTAACCAATCATATTCCTAGAAATGTATAGGAGGTAAGATAAGACATTATACATAGATATCTAGTCGTCAATTTACAAAATATACATTACCTGGCGTTTGACAAAACAAAATGTAACCTGAAGACACCTGTTGTTCACCATCTAAATCTTTTATCACATTTTTATGGCAAGCCGTTTTACTATTTTATAAGATATCTCATATCTTATATGAGATATCTTATAAACAATATAAGATATCTTATAAACTATATAAGATATCTTATGAACTATATAAGATATCTTATAAACTATCTGAGATATCTGTAAAGTATATAAGATATCTTATATACAAATATTTATAAGATATATCTTATAAATCATATGAGATATCTTATAAACTATATGAGATATCTAATAAACTATATAAGATGTCTCATATAATATATAAGATATCTTATACAAACTAGTTTGTTTAAAATATCTTATATAATCTAGTTTTTATAAGAAATCTTAAAACTTTATAAGATATCTTATATACTTTATAAGATATCTTCTAAAGTATATAAGATATCTTATAAACTATATCTTATAAAGAAAATTATAAGAGATATCTTATAAACTATATAAGATATCTCATATACTATATAAGATATCTCATATAATATGATATATCTTATATAGTATATGAGATATCTTATAAACTTTAGAAGATATCTTATAAAGTTTATAAGATATCTTATAAAGTTTATAAGATATCTTATAAAGTTTATAAGATATCTTATTAAAACTAGATTATATAAGATATCTTATATATTATATATTATATGAGATAACTTATATATTTTTTGAGATATCTTATATATTATATGAGATATCTTGAAGTTAGAATAAATAGTAAAACGGGTTGCCATACATTTTGATCACATTCATTTCTGAATATAGCGAAAAACAGTTATTTTTGCAGATTGTTTGTATAAATGCACAAAACTTTAAACTAACTTTTGCCGTTAACGACTACTTTTAAGAAAGGAAATTTGGAAAGGCTATGATGCATCAAATAGATTTCGCTGACTTGCGAATTACTATCTGTACGTTTGCATTATAGTTATTCAATAGCCACACCAAAAAAAAAAACCTTTATGCCATGTATGTGTAGTACATAGTATATGTATATTAAAAGAATTGTATTGGTGCATTTTTTTCTCGGGTTTATATTATCGATCGAATTTAAAGGTCAAAATATATAGATATAATAATGATATTCTAAATAAATATCATTATTCAAATATTTGAACATGATTTATTACAAAACAATAAACGAAAAAAACATGACAGACAGCAACCCACGACAAACACTGGCTCCGGACTTGTGACAGGCACATAGATAATATGGCAGCGTTAAACATGTTTGTGGGGGATCAACATCCCCTTACCTGCGACAGTGATGTAACGGCACAACATAGAACAAACTGTAAAAATCAGCTAGACTATATATACCTTCATGAAGGCTGAATTACAATTTTATCTAGTTTACGATTTTTAATATCGAATTTCTTCGCGGCATTTCAGTCCAAAATGCCAACCGAAATTAAAAGATGTTACTGGCCTACCAGCCTCCTGAATAATTCGAAACTTTTTTAGTCATACTCTTTGGTTTAATAACAAGTAAATAAAGTATCATAAACATATTTTCCTGAAATTACAGAGAGATTCAGTTACAAACAGTTGACATGCAAGGTGGCACCAAAACTTTTTGTGATCGCCTCGATCTCCTGATAGACTATACAGATGCTTCACCTGACGACCAATTTTCTGTAATGTGCCGGAAGCAAGCTATTGACTATTCTGACGAGGACTTCGGACTCACGGATAGGGACGAAATTTTTAGTGATGTCGTTAACTACAGGTTAGGTCGGAAAGGTCGACAAACTACAGCTACTCTCACTGTACCAATATTTGGTGAACTTGAGATAAAAGAAGAGCTTGTGTTGAAAGGGAATCGTGGCTATTCTGCTCCGATAACTTCACTAAAAAACGAAGGACAGGTGAGATCCATGATTGTATTTGACATTTTTATCTCCATATGTTTATTAATATTAAAAAGGATAAATCAGCCAAAAAATGTACTTCTAGTCTTAGCATTTGACATGTAATCCTAATTGAATGCCACCGTATTTTTATGCGTAAAATAAAAAAAGCAAAACAATAACAATAACAAAACAAAAAAATAAAGGAAAAAAGTAAAAGCAAGAAATATAATGAAAGTAAAAACATAGAATAATTTAGACAAGCAATACTTAAACAATTGTTATCATCAAACAATTTATTTTTAATTTCAGAAATATTATGGTATCGTCACGATTGATATGTCATCACTTGATGCTTTCGTTGTTGTGAGTCGTCCAATCAAAGAAATTTTCAATGTAGATTCGACAGCTGTTGTCCTCAGGTCAAAGGTTAACCCAGGCGTACAACTAGTCATTCCTCCTGAAACATTTGAAGAAAGAACGCAATTGACTTTAGAAGTAGGTAGAACGGTATTAAGAGTCAACAGTTTGTATTCCGAAGGCAAATGCTTCAAATTATCCTGACGCAGCACTTTTATTTTATGTTATTGCTGTAGTAGTCTATATCTGTATGATGAAACAAAAAATATTGAGTAGTAGTGAGAAGCTTGACCTTAATTTTTACTACACAATTAAAAAGATTGTCTTACTTATTTTGCAATTTAAATAGGCTTTCCATTGCTTTTCAGATAACAGATTCACCTAACCCTGAACTTTTTGCAACAACTCATATGGAAAATGTTTATTCGTGCACATGTTTTTGTAGTGTTCATACGGAAAACAAAGCTGGACCAAAAAATGACGTCATATTTCGTTTTCCATTACCAGAAGAATATGGCCAAGGTGGTCAACTGTATGCATTTCAATCTAATGTTTATGAAATAGGAGATGTCAGTGTGGACAGTTGGACAGCATTAAATACAAATGTTAATGTTTCTAACAAACTTGTAGAATTTTCTTCACGGACATTTTCAGTGTAAGTATCGAATATTTCTTTTCATGAATAAGGGAAAAGAAAAATCTGAAGAAAAAAAAAATTGGCTGAACATCATCATTTACTTAAAACGACAGAGAGAAAGAGAGATGTGGGGGTAAAGATAGAAGGAGTTGAATTGAATAGAAATCAGAGTGTATATCAGCTCATCAATCTGCAGTCAAATTGAAGTCGACTAACATGTACAGATGTTAATTACATTCAGAACATACAATAATTGTATACGAACAAAACACAGACATAAATTATTTTATCTCGAAGTCCTATTCGACAAAACATTTGCTTTCATTATACAGAGCTGCAGGAGATAAATGCTTTGTCCGTCTCAATACCAAGGTGTCGGATGATTTACTTTTCAATTAGGGCTACTTACTTGAGTGTTCAAGCTATTTTAGAGGAGCTAGATCTGCTCACCTTTGCGATGCAAACGAGTCCAACCTAGGTTTTTGTGTTTTTTTCAATATTAAATGTTTTGTGAACTTTTTTCTGTCCTTTTGTCTTTTTCTTTTGACTAGACGTTGCCTGTATTTCTCCAACTTCTTCCTTCGTGTCTTCGTGTCTTCTTTCATTTTTACTCTTTCATTTAATAGTCCGAGAAGACACGTTTTTGACATGTGCTTATGGTATCTTTATCATTATTACTTGTATTTATGTTTTCATTGTATTTTAGCAAAGCATGTGTGGAAACGAAGAAGGGAATCGATCCTTCAACATTAACAGATAAGGTACACATCGCATTTGAAAAAGCAAAAAAACGAGAATATACTGTTATGTTTTTAGTCATGTCAAAACGCATTGGCAATGGAAATACTTTTACCATTATTGTTGAGTGTACCAAAGTTGAAAATGCAGAAAGTCGAAAAGAGTATTGGTTAGAGGAAGGATATACTGATCAAAAACCTACGCAATCTTCATGGTTTAATGCTTATTCCAGATACAAATATAGATGTAAACTTAGCAAGTCATTTCAAAATCTCCTTGTTAACGATTCTGACGAAGTTTATCTGCAGTTCCATGCAAGAAGGATAAATTACCAATGTTTTACTCTGCAAATGGCAGAAAACTTTGACGAAGCTAAAGGTGATTTACAGATATTTTCTGTTAAATCAACAAAGTCACGAGATGAAAATAAAGATCTGTCCATTCGAACGGAGAAACCTGATAAAACACAGCCAGACAAACCATTAGCATCTATTTCCATTCAACTATTTCGAAATGTTAAACCAACACTCATAACTCCAAATATCCCTCCAATGTCTCCTACCATGGATGATTTTAGATCGCCAACTAGGACAACCATGACACCAGTAGATGTTACACCAACAATGTCTAAAATGAACAACATGAAAGGTGTCAACTTTAAAGAGGAGGCAAAGGGGGATCCATCCTGGAAAGGTAAATAAAATATTTCTTTGATATTTGTAGATGGTCTTATGTATACAAACATATAATGTTTTGATGCGTTCAGTAACTCTAATTAGTAACTTTTAGAATTTCATGATAGGACTAATAAAATTAGCCAAAATCATGGGGATCAAAAATGTTTTAAATTGAGATCGATTAACTGCAATGAGAATTTTATAACGTGTTATTTTTATTTACAACCACTAGGTCGATGCCGCTGCTAATCACCGATGGTCTCATTAGCTTCAGTACTGATATGATTAATTTAGGCAATAGTATTTCACCGATGTTCAAACCTCATAAATCAATTCAGAAGATACAAATCCAGGTAACAAACAAAAACTGGGGGAATCGCATGAATCCAGAAGGAGAGTTACCGGATGTGTCCAAAGGGCATGCGTCGTCTGCTATACACACACCACCCGCCACACGAATCCAGAAGGAGAGATACCGGATGTGTTCAAAGGGCATGCGTCGTCTGCTATACACACACCACCCGCCACACGAATCCAGAAGGAGAGATACCGTATGTGTCCAAAGGGCATGCGTCGTCTGCTATACACACACACCACCCGCCACACGAATCCACAATCAGTCAAAATATCACTATCGAGAATAAGACACAATCGATAAAATATCAGATCGGACATATCTTTTAAAACAAACCTTTGTTGATAAATTTAGATATTATCAAGAAACTAGCACCAAACTACCTCAGGTAAAGTTATTACACATACTTGATTTTTAAACTTTGGGTATGAGCATTTCTGATGAAGGTAAATCCAGAAAAGTGCTTTGGACGCACTAAATCTATAAAGTATTATGTTCATTCATTATCTTTTGTAAGGACATCCCAAATTAGCCAAATTACATGAGGATTAACAAAACCACTCTAGCGCTCATGGACAGTAATATTTGTTATACTATTTATTTTATTTCAAATACACTTATTTTTCAGAATTGTTCTCTTTATTTTCCAATTCAAAGCAATTTGGATGTTGTTAGTTTGACAGCTGATTGACTTTTTATTTTCTCCTTTCACAACTTAAAAATTTGGTTCTTAACAAGCAACTATCTTAAATCATTTTTGTCGTACATTTTGAATACATACTCATCTATGCTTTCTGATTTATTATGTTTTTCTAAAGGTTTTACAAATGACTCGTTTTTACATGGACTATTAGATCAATTGGATGAAGAATGGTATAAGCTAGTTGTGTTATTGGGAATTCCTTATAAGGAAGTGGATACGGTACTTCATATGACAGAAGCTACGCAAGACCAAAAAATATATCATGTAGGCATTCACACATAGTGAAATAATTATCAAATCATTGATTTATAAAGTAACATTACACCTCTTAATTATATTGCTGCATTTGGGTTATATTTCTGCATAGCAACAAGAAATTACCGAACTGATTGTTGTCACTAAATATTCATGCAATATGACTCATTTAGTGAACTATTTATGTTCACAATTGCAAATATTACGAAAAGTTAGTATAATGCAATTTTACATTTCAATGGAAAAATCTAATTAGGTGTTGCTAGAAAGGCAATTTTGAACATTATTTCTTTTATTTTTCTAATTTCCTTAAACTAATATTTTTAAATAACTGTCACAACAAGGGATGCATTGCGATAATAGACTTTTGCGGCCCATGGGTTTCTTCAATAAACACTTCTTTAAATAGTATATTTGTCTTTTAGACCACTGTTAACCAATAATTTTATTTGGCCTACGGGAAAATATCTATGGAATTTCTATTAAATCTGACTTTCTCTATGTTTTGCACGCGGAACCCGGTTCATATTATCGTCATTTATCAATTATTGCAGAGGTATTTCATTATTTCATCTTAAGACACGCAAAATTAAAAAAGTGTGTTTTCATTGCAAACAGTACGTCTTTATACAAAAGGAAATGTCTGTACCAAGTCAGGAAAATGACAGTTGTTTTCCATTCGTTTGATGTGTTTTAGCTTTTGATTTTGCCATTTGATAAAGGACTTTCCATTTTGAACTTTCCTTTGAGTTCGGTATTTTGTTATTTTACTTTTTCCTCAGTTTCAGTTACTTTGATTAAATTATTAAATTTAGCACAATGACAAAATAAGGATATTTTTGTAATTTTACTTTTTATAATTGACAGTAAATATCAACTTATTGCAATTTTATCCCCTTTTGAATAACCATGAGAAAGTCAAACTTTTGAAAGAGTGATATTCTTACTTCATTGGTTTATGTGTTAAACCGCTTTTTTTTTTATAACTACATAGTCTATAAAATATGTTTTTCCTTGTAATAATAGAAGAAATTACAGTTCTTTGAAAATATATCGTTATAACGTTACAACATGCGTCTTCCCTATTTCATCTTTTGATTATCTGATATTAATTAAAGATCTTTTTGAAAAACGAACTCGACTTATTACCATTTGTTGGATAGAACCACCATTCATATAGCAAGCAAGCAAAGTGCCAACACTTCTGTATCAAATGCCTTGGGTAGATTTCAACATTTTGAAATAAATACGTTCAGACGTCATGGCGAAATCACGTGATCTCATGGCCAGACATGTTCAGTTCGATATCTTTTTTAATGAAAAACCAAACTTCACTTGTTGTAGTTAACTTTTATGAATTCATGATGGACCGGAAAACACACTTATCGCAACAGATCCGTAAGCAACGTAAAAAAAAGGAAACATACAGTCAAAATGTTAACTGTTTTGGACATACATGTCAAAAATATTTCTTAAAGTGTATGAAGGATAACAAATGTCTACATTACAAAACTTATGGTTGTTCGAATACTGTTGATTAATACAATTTTGATTAAAACGGGAGAAAACAATATTATGATAGTAAGTACAACTTTATAGACCCCTTGTCTCACATTTGTACAGAATATATTTGCAAACAAAGGCATATTCTATCACTGCATTTCAGTTTTTATTACGATGGAGAGATAGTAGTAGAGCAAGAGACGACCTCGGAATGGCAAATCTAATAACTGCTGTGTCAAAAGGAGGCCGGCGAGATATATGCACATCAATTTTGCTTGATATGAAACAATGGTAATTTAATTACCGATACTGCTATTTCAGAAATGTACCTTCATCAATGCATAAGGCATATGATTAGAATTGTATTTTATGTTTTGGTTGTAATTCATTATAAATTGAATCGATTAATGATATCATATTTTTCACATTAGACTTCAACTGACTGCAAGTAAATAGAATCTAATATTATTTGAGATCGTTTACGGTTTTATGTATATTTATCTATTCAAATGTTTGAGAATGATGCTGAAAGAATATGAATTATCTTGTAATACTCAATTCCAAAGTTCTTTCACAAATCAAAAGTTCAAAATCACTAGCAGGAGAAGAAAACACTTATCATCAGATGGATAAGATGAAAAATTACTGTCAATATATTTGCTTTGCATAGACATTCCACATGAAAATCACGGCAATAAAAAAATAAATTCAACGTACAGTAATTCAATTAAGTACACAAGTGTGTGAAGGTCACTATAGATGTGATGTTTTTTTACATTTTAACAGGTATCGCCTCTAGCTGTTAAATTTTTGTTTAACCAACAAATTATCTAGTTCTTATTGGTATATAATTTGTGACGACAAAGCTCAAACAACGAATAATAAAATCAACCCGATAGCTTAGAAAATAAGCTGTTACTAAAAGATCTCGAAATACACGTACCATAAGAAACAAATATCTGCAGCAATTATCCAGTTCCTGTAAAAAAAAGAAATCGAAATTGTGTACATTTGTATTATTAATGTAGTATATAAAATGTCTACTGAAATTTCATTGGTATGGTATAAACTGACTAACATTCCAGTGAAAACAATAAAACTAAGTGCATCGACATGGTAAGCATATCCTTCTATACATTCATTACCAGTCATACGATTCCGACCATATTAAGTAGTAGTCGTCAAAGCTATGGGAATTAAAAAAAATCGATAACAATCTCCGATTACAATAGCGAAATATGAAATCCATGACAGAAATTAAAGGACTCGGATAAGATGAGAATATGCGACACTCAGTAGCGATCAATTCGTTGAGGCATCCGCAGTACTTGTTTAGTGATGATTAAATATTTATTCATAGCTTTTTTTATTTTATTTTTTATTTAAGAGTGAAATGCTACCATGGTGTCATGAAAATAAAATATGGTCAGTTTCTAATAGTTAAATCCAGTTTATTCACCTTGTACGATATTTATGGCAAGTTTTTCGTTCCGTTTCATTTCGTGTCAGTAGAATATTTACAAGAATATCATTTCATTAAATGGGATAACGAGGAACATGGTACAATATCAGACATTATTTTAGACAAGGTCTACAAGATGTCATGATCTGATGCATTTTAAAGACGGTAGCTGAAATATCTGTTTAATTTTCCAGGTATGAAAATGACGGTAACAAGAAAACAAAATTTTGGCGCTGGGTAAACAAAGCTTTTACAGATCCTGACATATACAACCCCGGAGGTACATCATTTCTTTTTATATGATAAAAGTTAACAGTAGCACAATGATAAATAAATTTATGAATATAATTATTTCAACAACAAAAAAAAAACCATAATAAAATGAAGAAATAAGAATTTGTTAAACTTTCAACATGTTCTACCATATTTTACATCTGTGAAAATATCTATTTAAATTCGAACAAATCGAGGTGGTGTAGCCTATTTGTTGAATGTAGAAAAAGGGTAATTGCTTAAAACCCAATTCAGGAATTATTTTATTCTAATTGCAATACATTTATACATTTATGGTATTCGCCTTCTGCAATGCAGTCAAAATTAGCAAAGTTGTAAAAAAGCGAAATACTAAAATTTGACCAGTGAAGACATCTAAACAAACAAGGCAACAAATAAAAGATGCACTGACACAACAAAACAAAAATAAAATTAATCAAGTAAAACACCTATTAGTTTGAACACCCATCATTTGTTCATATGGACAACAGTTTAGTCAATTCAATCATGTCAAATTTATTTGTAGATTATCCACCACCCATGTCTGATCAATTCTTGGTACTGTTGACTCAGTCGATAGAAAATCCAAATTTTGAAGTAGGCGTGTCTCTCGGGATGTCTAGAGTTGACACTAACAACATACTGGAGGATAAATTGATGGCCACTGAAGAACATAAGTTACTGGCGGTATATAATTTCTTTTTTTTTTTCATTTTACTGTTTGTTCATTTATCTTGTAAATACACCATGTTTACTATTTACGTCGTACAGATTTTTGAACCTTTGATATCCCGATACGAACAATACTTAAAGGTTTCATATAGAGTGAAAATTGAAAATCGCTTGATATCAAATCGAGTTCTTTGATTTCAATATAATGATAAACGTTGGCGATATCCAATTCTTACGAGATGTTAAACCTATTTCTTGTATGGTCAAAAATATATTTGTGTTAAAACGGAAAGCTGCAAAATGATGGTACTTGTCTTTTGCCCTTAAAAAGTATGACTTCCTTGTGCCATTCAATAATCCGAGTCGTTGCCAAGCTTTTTGTACGCTTCAGAATGGAATCTGAGTAAAAAAGCATACTTTCAGGTGAAATGTGAGTGTTTTGCATAGTATTGAAGTATTGAAGAAATCATAAATTTCCGTTGCCACGGGGAGAAAATAGTCTGTTTTGACCTTTGAAAATCACCATTGACCTAACGAATATCCAATGGAAATGTCGCAATTTCGAATCAAATTGCAGGATCGAAGAACTAAATTAACGATTTTTTTTAACCACTTTTCCATATCAGATCGGTTCAGTGTGATACGAGAAATATCTCATTATGCAGGAAATAAATAACAGCCCACAACCATACGAGAATGTGTATTCCAAATTGGAAGACCTTGCCAATAAAACACCTTTTAAAGACATTGTTAATTTTATCTAGGTCATTTGCAATTTTGATTTGGTCTTCCTACTGATGCACAAGAGTTCCTTATACCTGTTTTTTTTTTTGGTCCTCTGTTTGGCGTTATGTATAGTTGATACTCTTCAACGTTTCATACTTTCCGGTTTTTAGAGAGGTTTCAAGCACCATCACTAACGAGAAATTAATTTCGACGAAATTCGAATAGAGACCACAAAATTAGTCTCGGTATCTTTTTCATGTTATTTAGTTGTATAGATAAGATTAAGATATGTGTTGTCCATGAATGCTTTTGGGTTATATTTCAGATTTTTGTTGAAGCAAGAGATAAGAAATCATCAAAAAGTGAGGCTTTACGGAGTTTTGTTAATGCTATGGGTGAGGTAGAAATGTTAGTTGGAAAGAAATGGGTAATAATGGCAGCAGAAAACTGGTAAGATTTACATATTTTTTTTCAAAGCAAATAAGATATATAACCATAAGGATAGTCGGTACGATTACCTTATTTACTATGTTATATTGAAATATTTTTTGGTATATTGATATTCTCCTAAACATGTTGACTAGAATTATCGAGAGTAGTAGCAGTGGATTTAAACTTGGTTGAAGGGGTGCGGATTTAAATGAGATTTTCTTGATGTTGAATATTAATGTCTATATGTTTATTAGGTTACTCTATGTTTATTGTAAACATTAACCGATTTTAAAGATTCCGATAATATAGAAGGAGGGTTACGGAATGTTGTCTCACATTTTTTTGGTGTATTATAATTGAATTAGCGTTGTCACCACAAAATAAGGTTTTTGTTTAGTAATGTACAATGGGTCACAATTTTTTTTTTTTTCTTCTGAAACACCAAATAATCCTTTTTTGAATATTTTTTAACAGGCTTGAAGCAAACAAGAAAAATGATGATCCTTTTGTCAAAGAAGTGGAGTCAGTTTTGCGGCCTATGCACTTGATCAGTTGACTATTTGTATTAGAAAAAAATTAATAAAGATATTTTTAATTGAAATAAATTTCAATATGTTTTGTCTCATAAGTAAAGCAGTGATTTGATATCCAAGGAATGTATACGCTTCTTGTGTGTGTGTTTTCAAAATGATATTCATTTGCTCCAATCTTAGACTTTTTTTATTTTCCTTTTGTAAAATCTAAAATTGAACTTATACGTTAAGGTAAAACTCATTAAAAATAGAGATACAAACCTCATTTTGACTGTGCAAGTCAAATGAACTTCTCCCGACCAAAGATGGAGGCGATTTTAGCGTAAATACACACTACTGATTTTTACCATTTAAATATTTCATCTGGTTGAAGTGACATGTCGTCAAACCATATTAAAATTTTCATCCGGTATTTCAGTGCTCTCACTGACTTTGCTTTTCAATTTTTGTCGTCTCATGACAATAGCAACTGCACTTAAAATTCAAAATAACACCACAGCTACGAAACCAAAATCGATAAGGATAGCACTTGTTATGAGGAATGTGTTATTGGAATCATTTAACACGATTTCAACTACAGTATTTTTGTTGCATAAGTATATACCGTTCATGAGAGCATCGATGGAAACGTTTTAAGGTCTTATATTGTAGACAAGACGAGGGATGTATCAAGGAATGAACGAGATTGATGATACGGTAGTACTTGAAGTAATTAGACAACTTTCATTTATGTTTAGATTGTTCAACAATGTGCCTTGTAATTTTTGAGGCGTCTCACATTTTCCAATCAGATTAAGTCTCGGCATGCTGTCTCTTTTCAACATTTGAGGTCCGTCAAAATGAACAGGAGTATCAATTAATGACATAAATACAAGTGTTTTCTAATTATTATTTTCTTTACTTTTTGTTTGCTTATGAACTGTTGATGTATAGTATAGTTTTTCAATATAACATTGTATAGATTACTGTTCAATTCTTTATTCTAAAATTACAAATAATGTTAAATCAATTAGTTCTATTAAGCTGTTTTTGTGTACTGTCCTAAATTATTTTAGTTATTCGTTGTTATTCTTTGGTTAACATGTCGAAATGTACTATTATATTATTTATTTATGTATTTCTCTTTCTTTGGTGTTTTTGCATTTAGTTGTACTCTGTTCCCGTCATGTAATGTAGTCATTTTAGCAGTATGTTTAAAATTGCCATAAAGCGCGGAGGTTTGACTAGCCACAAAACCAGGTTCAACCCACCATTTTTTCTTAAAATGTCCTGTACTAAGTCAGGAATATGGCAGTTGATATTCAATAGTTCATTTCTATGAATGTTGCATTGTTGTTTGTTTTTGTTGCACTTCTGTGTTCTGTTATTTCGTTGTTATTATAGTTGATGTGTTTCACTCGGTTTTAGTTTGTAACCCGGATTTGTTTTCTCTCCATCGATTTATGACTTTTGAACAGCGGTATATTACTATTGCCTTTATTTTAATGCCCTGACTTTCTCGACGACTAGAACCATTCTTAATTATAATCAGAAAGCTTCTTTAATTTCTATCCTACATGTTCACGTTGTACAGACTTCATTAACAAGGGAGTGCTCCTTACACTCAAAACTGTTCAAGCAGAGTTATGAGATAAACGAGTGAAATAGATACTACAAAAGTTTTATGGTCATCATAACAAAATGGTTGACCGATACGATTCGTCTGTTTCATAACTCACCAGTGTAGCCGCCTGGTCTGTAATTTTACCGATTGTGACATTTTACTAAGTGTGAATTCGCATGGCGGGTGATGCGTGCATAGCAGAAGACGCTTACTCTGTCGACGCAACCGGTCTCTCTCTTTTTGGAGTTCATACGATTTCCCCTGTTTTTGTTTGTGCCCTTCATTTGTCTCTTTTTACTCGATTTACGAGATTTGAACATCGGTAAACTACCGTCGCCTTAATTTTCCTAAAACAAATTCGGACAATTCTACCATAGAATTGATTCTAACAATTTTATCTTGGAACAGTTCTATGGCAGAATTTTTTGACGCTCTGAAGAGATGTTCAAACTGATCCCAACTGTTTAGTTGCGTCCCAATAATTTGTAGCCGGAGGCATATACTGCCATAGCCGTATTTGGCACAACTGAGATGGTCAAGGACTGGAATATTCGTCACAAACATTATTTGATTGATCAAAGTTAATTACTTCATATTAATACAGCTCAAATAACGACGGACGAATTTGTTTCTCTAAAAAAGTGATTCAAGTTAGTTTGCCGTACAAATTGAAAACATACTTATGCTTGCTTTTCTATTATATTTTCTATCGAAAATCGGTGCAGAAAAGAATACCTGATTACTTTGAAGATAAAACTACATCTGTAATTTCATATACCTACACCTAAACTATTATTTCCAAGATTTTCAACAAAAAGAGGGTATTAGAGACAGTTACCATTAGAGATGAAAAACCAAAACCTCCTGATTGCTCTTGTGCATATTCCATATACAAATATAGTCCCCTGGGTCATGTTATAACTGTTGACATTAGCATCGTAAACAATGAACAACTTCAAGAGTTGTTAGCCAAAGACCCGAAATATCTAATTTCAAAACCCATCAACTGGAAGAAAAACTTTAAGTTACTGATGGATGCAGTTGAGGACTATGCCAGAAAATTGCTAAAACGCGATCCAAATTGGTAAACTACTGTCGCCTTAAATCTATACTTTCATTTGATGTAAATAATTTTGTTCTTTTGTTCTTCTTTTAAGCTTTACAAATGGCTGGTTTTTTTAATGGACTAGTACATCAATTGTATGAAGAATAATATGAGCTGTTATTAGAAATTTCTTATAAGGAAATTGATACGGATCTTTATATGACAAAAGCTACGCAAAACCAAGGCTTATATCATATAGGTTGTAACAAGTAGTGAAATATTTATCATTTAATTGATTAAAAAGTTAAATTACACATCTTACTGCAAAATGGTGCATAGTTGGAGATTTTTTTCTGCATATCATTAGTATATATCAAACTGACGCATTTGGTTTTATTCATACATTCGTGTAATATGATTAATTTGGAAAACTGTTCATGTTTGCAATTGCAAAGATTACGGAAATATGCATTATGCAAATTTTAGGTTTTGAGGAAAATTTAATGTATTCGTGGTAGATAGAAAGTATTTGAACTTTGAATGTTATTTTGGTGCTGTTTTGAATTGCCCATAAACTATTTGTTTTCTTCCTATATACCCAAAATTGTTTTAGGTTAGAGCTTTTCTAGAGAAGTAAAATCCAGAAACGCGCTGACTTGGTTGACAATAAAGAGAAATGCGTCTCATAGATGACTGCGGTTATGTTCAATCGTTGTAACCACAGTCGTGTCCTCTTATTCTATTTTACGACTATCAACGAATGCAACCTTTGACCGAACTATTACTTGTAATGAGCAACATAACGGGTACCACTAATTGATTCTGGTTTCTACTTAAGAACAGATCCTTAAAGCTCTATCTCTGGAATAATTTTGGACAGCTCTATTTATTCATTCATTTTTTATGCCTTTATTTATTGCTTAATTTGATCTTATTTCAAACAAAATATTCTCTACATTGTTCCTGACCTGTTCCATATCCACTAGAACTGTTCTTCATCATTATCAAAGAGCTGCTCTAATTACCGTCATTTAGAACTGTTCTCACCTTAAATAGTTTCTGACAGTTCTACTATACAACATATTTTGACAGTTCTACTCTAGAACAGATCCTGACAGTTCTGACGAGAGGTTAGAACTGATCCTAACTGTACAACCATGAAGGAACATTATTTTGACTAAATACAGTTTTTATTTGATAATGTCAACAGTAAATCAATCATCAGTAACGCAAAAAAAACATAATTATTTCAACAACAATAATAAAACAATAATATATTTATATTACAACAATCATGATTTTATACAAATTTCATGTGAAATGAGTTACAAAAATAAGAAGTTTTTAACTTTCAATATGCTCTACCATACACAATGTATTTAACAGTGATAAAAATGTGAAAGTATCATTTATTTAACATTGTTGAGATTTCAGCTGACGGACTGCCGACACAGGTACGCATTCGACTAGTGTAACAGAAAAAAAGAAATGAAAAAGTAAACTTAGGAAAGTGAAATAAGTTCGACAAACAAGGCAAATAAAGAAAATTATCCTAATAGAACATTATCATAATTAGGCAACTAAATCACAACATATAGAATTTCAACACCAATTATATAGTCGGAAAACATTTAACATTTGGTAAATCTATTACAAATTAAATATATGTACTTGATAATGCATCAAAGCAGTAGTGTGAAATAGAAGCAACTTACTTGTGTTGTATTCAAAGTCATCAAACTTAATCGTGAATTTTACATGATTTTTAAAACAAGGGAAATAACCTTGGTATTCACAATGAAATTCTAGTCTTCTTACAATATTTATATAAAATTTTGAACAACTCCTATATCTTAGTTTTCAGCGATCATATTATGCATTATGGTCTTTCCATTCATAACAAACACACAAATCATATATCGTACAAATGAAACAAAAAACATGCAAAATCAATAAAAATCCATTCATCCTTTACAAAATTCTTTGTAGAATATTCACCATAAACAGTCTAACGAAAATCCAATTATGGAATGGCTGTATTTCTTGAGATATCTACATTTGATAATAAACAAACTATTAGAGGATAACTTGTTGGCAAATGAGCAATATAAGTTACTTTGGTATATAATTTTCTAATTCTTATTTTTATTTTTGCTCATTTAATGTGTAAAAACATCAATAATACTATATAAGTTATACATGGTTGACATACGTTGGTATTCTAGTACAAGAGATAATATGCATTCGAATTGGAAAGATTTTAGTGTCAATAAAAATGATGTCTTATTTTTTCTACAATTCTAATGTGATATTGAATCTGTTATCTAATCCAATTTTTGAAATGTGTCATGCAATCCATTTTTTATCATAAATGTGTTTTGCACCCTTTATACAATGTTGTATTTACACCTTTTGTATGTAGATATTCTCCCAAATATTTTGACTTTAATTATATAGATTGTGAGCTGTTCCAGAATTAAATGCAAAAGGGGAGGGCATGGGAGGCATTTTTTAGACACCAATCACCCATAAAATTTTCATTTTACTGATAACTCTTACAAAATTATAAGGAAAATGCAATCACCCACAATTTATTGATTTGAGTTCCTCCCACCAATTTCACCACGATCAATTTAGGAACAGCCTGGACTTGAGCTTCGTTAAAGTGAAACGATTAATATATGATTTTCTATGTTTTGAGAAATGGAGTTATTAATAAAACTTTCTTGTAAGCTGTAGAGCTTTAACAGATTTATCAAGATTTTTAACCTATGTAAGGAATGTATATTGTTATTTATAAAACATTGTACCATCATTAACTTCCTTAAATACATTCAATAAAAAATCATGATATTCTTATTAACTTAAAACACCAAGTATTATATTATGTAAAATGTTAAATTTCATAAAATATTCCTTCCTTTGAAATATTTTTTCAACGGGTTTGAAACAAACAGGAAAAATGATGATTTATTTGTCCAAAAAATGGAGTTTGCTTTGCGTCCTGTGCACTTGATCAATTGCTTATTTGCATTAACAATTATGAATACAAATATTTGTTATTGAGATAGATTTCATTATTTTTTGTGTTATGATTACATTGGTATATCTATCAGTGATTTGATATTTAGTAAATGTAAGGGACTTCTTCTGTGTGGGTATTTTTAGTTATTTGTATTTGCCAGTTTTCAACCTTATTTATTCTCCTTATATCAACTCTAAAATTAATTACACTTAAAGGTAAACAAATCAAAAGTACAGATATCACGCATGAATTTCTTTGACTGTGCAGATTATAAACCTATCCCGAACCGAAGAAATCGGCGATTTTAGCACTAACACAAAAGACATATTTTTACAAATGCAATGTTTCATCTTCTTCATGAACATGCCGTAAAGCCATAGCAATATCATCATTCGGTATTTCAGTGGTCTCACTTACTTCATAGGCTCTGCTTCTCAATTTTCGACGTGCCATGACAACAGCAACTCCAACTAAAGCTCCAAGGAACACCGCAGCTACGCAACCAATAGCAATATAAAAAGCACTGGTTCCGAGGAATGTATCATAGAAATCATTCCCTATAGCCTGTTCAGGTGTGTCCCGATTAAATATTTGAACTATGGACGGATGAAGATGGTTTGCTGAGGTTGATGCTATTTCCACTTTTTCTGTTGCATAAGTATATGGCGTTGATGCGATGGTAGACGGAAACGTTTTAAGGTCTAACGTTGAAGACAAAACGAGCGATACATCATAGAATGAAAACGATGTTGATAATACGGTAGGACTTGTAGTAATTAGGCAATTTTCATTTAATTTTAGATTTTTCAACAATGTGCCCTGCAATTTTGGAGGTGCCTCACATTTTCCAATTAAATTAAGTCTCGGCATGCTGTCTCGTATCAACATAAGAGGACAGTCACAATGAACAGGGTTGTCATCTAATGATACAAATTCAAGAAAGCGGATTGTTTCAAAGAAGTCATGTGGCAATGTTTGTATTTTGTTTCCAGAGATATCCAGTCTTCTGAGAGATCGGGCATTTCTAAATAAACGACCTGGAAGATGTTTAATTTTATTTCTTGCAATATTAAGATCTAATAAACTTGTTTGGTCAAATAAGGTATCACCTGAAAGATACACGAGTTCATTATCGTTTAGAAATAAGTCTGTAAGCATGAATTGATCTCTGAAAGCATTTTCATCAATAAAATTTAATTTATTGTTTCCCATGTCTACTTTTTCCAAAGACTTTACCCCTTCAAATGTTCGGTTTGAAATATTCCGAAGTTGGTTGTGACTTACGTTAAATGCTACTATAGTATTCTGTGAGGATTTGAATAAGGCATCTGGGAGGTTTGTAATATTGTTATATGATAAATCTAATACCGTTAGCGATAAAAGTGACATTAAAGTATCGTTGTTGACTTCAATCAGTTTTGTCCGACTCAAGTTTAAAAACCGTAAATTTTTAAAGCCAATAAACCAATCAGCCGATATTCGATATAATGTACTTCCAGAAAGATCTAGTGTGTCGACTTGGGACTCAGACTTCGGCAAGATGAGATCCTCAATGTTATTTAAAGACAAATGTTTCAAGCTCTGTTGTTTATCGAACAGATTTCTAGGTAGTGATTTGACGCCATCTATCATAACAGTCACTAAATTAACAGGCATTTTTCTATCGTCATTCACGGTCGAATGAAATAAGTTGGTCGGTAATGTTTGCATCTTTTCAGTATGTATAGTGACAGATTTCAATATAGTAAGCCCGCTAAATGTATTCTCGTGAAGACTTTCAACGTTCGGTGCATTCAAGTAAACATCTACGAGCGTATCAATTCCAAAATTAAGCAGTTTTTCAGGAATACGTGTAGCTGTTTTAAAATTCGTGTGTAAAGTTTTTAATTTCAGATGACTAAATATGTTTTCACTGACTTCTTTACTACCAAAAACGATAGACATATCATTCAATCCTTCCAAATTATCAAACGTGTTCTCTTCAAATGTCTTTGCATGTATCCCTATCAGTTTGTGTAACTGTTTCAAATGTCCAAATGAAGTACTGTCAACCTTCTCCAATACATTTCCATCAAGGTTGAGTACATTAAGCTGGGAGGCTGTTGACAAGGATCGAGGTGGAAGATATGTTATGTTGTTATATGAAAGGTTCAGATCCGCAAGATATTCTGTGAATAGTTTTAATCGTTCCAAATCTTCACTATGAATGTCGTTGTAAGATAAATCAATCACTTCTATCTCGCTTGGAAGTGTACCTGGAATCGAAGTTAGACCACGACTAGAACAATTAGCTGTGCATAAAAACCTTCTGTGGAACTTGATAACATTACACTCGCAAGGCTCACAAACTTCACATGAATGTACAGTATACAGGTTCAATGCCAATATAAATAACAACCTGTACATACTGCCTGTATCCTGAAATAGAAAAAAATACCAATGAATCAAGTGAAGTTTTCAATTACATAAACGTGCAATGCCGTTTGCATTGCGTACGACATGTTTTTGCTAGTAGAACATCATGTACGCTCGAGCCTAAATGTTAAAGAAGACAAATGCATGAAATGTTCGGTTACGCGAATCCTAGAAGATGTATTGACTTGTTTGAGAGGTGTGAAACGGGAAATATTGCATACACATCCATACCATAACATCTAATGTCCTATGGGGTTTTTGCTCTCGGCCGACAAACTTTTCCCGTACATAGCTCCCTTATAATGTAAATCAGCAAAAATAAATGTCATTCCAGACCTGCATGTCAAACAGAAACTCTTGTTTTACTCTTAATCATTTGTGAACAATCAGTTATAAGTGTGATGTTTACTGAATTGTAGTTTAGTCATTTTACAATTTTACAATAGTAACTTTTTGATAGCAACATTATTTTACGATTTGTTCATACTTAATTAAAAAAAAGAGGCGAAAGATACCAAAAGGATATTAAAACTGATAAGTGGAAGATAAACTGAAAGCGTCATGGCAAAAAAACAGAAATACGACAAAAAGGCAAACAACAGTCTACAAAACATAACAAAGGAAACTAAAAAGATTGAGCAACAAGAACCCCACAAAAAACCGGGGTGATCTTATGTGCTCCGGAAGGGTAAGCATATCATGCTCCATATGTTGCGACCGTCGTGTTGCTCATGAAAATCCAAGCCTAATTCAGTGATATCATATTCAAGGATTGTCACATAAATCATAAAAATTAAAAATTTATTTGGCGGGTAAATATTAAGTCAGGTCAAAGGAAATTTGAAAATGTAGGGGATCATCTCTTCTGCAATAATGGTAACAAATTTAGAGTAGTATGCTAGCAGACGAGAATTCTGGTTCAGTGTCATTCATCTTAAATCTACGAAGACGATGGATATGACACGGTACGTGATTATTAGAGATTGTAGTCCCTTATACGTAATTGAATCGTTGTGGAACAAGGAATGGGTTGGTGTCTTTTCTAAATAGACTTGAACCTTTTAAACCCGCTGCATTTGTTTGCACCTATCCTAAGTCAGGAACCTGTTTCAGTGGTTCTCGTTTCTCGTTTATTTTATATAGATTAGACCGTTGGTTTTCCTGTTTGAATTGTTTTACACTAGTCATTTTGGTGCCCTTTATAGCTTGCTATTCGGTGTTAGCCAAGGCTCCGTGTTGAAGGCCGTACTTTGACCTATAATTGTTAACTTTTAACACATTGTGACTTGGATGGAGAGTTGTTTCATTGGCACTCATACCACATCTTCTTATTTCTATTGAGCAAGTTGTAGCTTGTCACGTACACATTGTACCGTGTAAATCGTGTCGTGTAGGGTACATAATTGAACCACAAGGACGCACATCTGTAATAATACTATTGTGCATCAGTTGTATAGATATTTTACGTAGAATTGTTATGAATAATATTCATTATAATTTATAGAAACGCAAAGGTCAGTTGTTTATAATTAAGTTCGTTGACATTATTGAGTATTTGTAAAAAGAACATTTTGAATCTAGTTTCGAACTGGTTACGAACCTTTTCTATAATAAAAATAGACACGCTTACCCAGTGTACACGTTACATTAGTATATGCCCATTTTACAACATTAACTATGAGATCATCAAGGTGGATAATCAAAGACTACCAAAATAGACAAGAAGGGATCCATTGCTGGATGGACTGCTAATCCTAATTTTGTTATTGTGCTAAATTTGATAATTTATTCAAAGTAACTAAAAGTGAGGAGAGAGTAAAATAACAAAAATACCGAACTCCAAGGAAAATTCAAATCGGAAAGTCCCTTATCAAATGACAAAATCAAAAGATCAAACACATCAAACGGATGGAAACAACTGTCATATTTCTGACTTAGTAAAGACATTTCTTTATGTAGTAAATGGTAGATTAAACCTGGATGAATAAGAATATACCGCTTTAAAAAAAAAATATTAAGTTTTCACCACCAGCCTTTGGTAGGGTTCGTGCTGTATATATATTCTTTAGTGTTTATGTATTGTTTTGTCTTTTCGTTCCTATGAAACGTCAGAGGAGATTAAATTCTCAGTTTTAGTTAAGTTGTATAGTATAAAGACTTAGTTATGCATCAGCCGTAGGGACAAAGTAAATGTACCTCATTTTTTCAAGTCGAAATTTCGACATTTGATATGTTAAAATTTTGACTTTAACTCGAAATTTCACTTTTCAAATCTTGAATGTTTCCATTAACTCGACATTTCTTAAATTATTCGTTTATAAATTTATAAATTATTTTAATATAATTAATTAATGAATTTATAAACCTTAGTTTCTTCTAACTAGGGTTTCAACTCCCTCAGGCAAAGTTGACCTTAGATGGATTTGGCTATTATTTCTAGGTCCTTTTTGGTCAAATAGCTTTTCAACTGTTTTGGTTCTTATACATCTTTGGCATTCAAATATTCGGCTTTGAGCATTCTTGATGAAGATAAATCCAGAAAAGCGCCTCGAACGCAAGAAATTTATAAAGTGTTTTCATTTTTTTCGACGTTAAAAAAAATTTTGTTTACGTATTAAGCTACTTTATTTCGACAGATTAAACCTTAAAGTTTCGACTTGTTTACACTTGAAATACTGACTTAATAAAATTAAAAATTCCGACTCAAGAGTCAAAATTTTCCATGAATTTCAAATTATTTAAATTAGAAAATGATCATATTAATGATATTTCATATCAAACGAAAAAGTGCCACTATTGCGCTAGTGATATACTCGGGAACTAAATGTCCACCAGCAGTGGCATCGACTCAATGGTGGTTGTAAAAACTCATCAAAGATACTTATAATTTGGTACGTAATTCGTGAATTAGAAAAAAAAAGCATGCAACTATGTAAACAAAGTCGCAAAATATCAGATTTGTATGGTGGTAGAGCAAGTATATTATAGAATTATTTAAAAATATTATTTTACATTCCTTCTAAAACAATCAAGTTTTTTTGATACGCGTTTAAGATCCTCCGATTAAAATGTGAAAACAAAATGTGTTAGCTAGTATGAATTATACTATAGTCAAGCAAATATGTGGAAAAATAAAAGACATTCACAATTTTAAGTGACCATGGGCAACTCGGCCCTGCGGATTTCCATCCCTTATAATACAGAATTATATATATTTTCAAATTCATTTTCACATTTCTATCAAAAGCGATCCGCAAATATTTTTTCTGTTAGATGTCTCTAATCCTCTTCCAAAAAAATGCGAAAACAAAATACTATTAATTGTCAATAATTCGACTAAAAAATGTACATCACCCTTTTATTTGCAATTTCTTTGGTATATAATAATAGACTTTTTCAACAATTGTTTACAGCTACAATTGAAAACGACATCGACAGAAGAAATGAAGGGGTCGTCTCAAAAACCACGATGATCGCATAAGAATATCACTTGTTGTTTACTGGCTTGAAAAAATAGTTTGTCTGTATGTCTGTAAAACATATCACAACGATATTTTTCTTGTCTTGGTTGAAATGCAATGGTAAATTGAATTTCACTTTTATTTTTAAATTGAGTTTGAAAAAAAGAAAAGGCCATATTCAATTCACCTTCTAATCAATGAGCTTCTAGCTTTCTTGATGCAATTAAAAAAAAATTTTATACAATGTAATTAATGATAATAGCTTGCTATTTGGTAACGGTATTGTCGCGTCATTGTTGAAGGCCGTACGTTGCTAACTTCTATGTCATTTGGTCTCTGGTGGAGAGTTGTCTCATTGGCAATCATACCACATCTTCTTATTTTTATATTTACCAAAGGTTGGCGACATGAGTATATTCTATTTCCAAGGGAACCCAGTTTCTGATGAAATATAGCGGACCATCTCCACCAATTTGCTGCATCAATGTGGAATATAGGGCGTTCTGATCAACGTTTAATCAGTTCGCGATCACATAACAAAGAAATCACTGTTCCTCAATTGTGGGACAACAAGCCCCTGTCTGAGTCAGCAGTTTTTCCCTATCCAAAATAAATCTGCAATGGTAGCAGGCTCTCTCGTAATCTATGGGTTCAAAGACATAAGCTCCATACGCAGGTGCTGCCGGGATATTGCTAAACAAACTAAGTTATCCAGAAATAACATATCCGGTAAATTGAAAAGAAATATAATCTTGCTTGTGACTGCTAAGATATGATTTTTTCTTGTTATAATTATGACAAAATCATATATATAACAGAGTAGAGAATTTTACTTAGTTCTATAAATTCAATCCATCAAAAGTTTGCACAAGCGACCATACGGTAATTATACAAAGATTAAACTTGTTTTTGGCAATAAAGTAAAAAGCGAGTAAGAAATACAGGAAAATGTATTATGTGCATTCCCATAAGATATTTAGTCTAGGTGTCTAATCATGTTGCAACTTTATACAAATTTAATCAATTGTAGAAAGTTTTCACTGTAAAAAAAATCGTAAGTCAAAAGCATGAAATTGTCATTTCCGAATTGAAGTTACTCATTGTTTCAAAGAAAACTATACCACAAGTACAAAATTCAGATTTCTTTGATATATTGAATTTTTATTTCGTAATTATTTTGTCTATCATAAATCATATGTTTGTGAATAAAGAGTTATAGAGCATAAAACACAAATAAGACAGCAAACCAACAACATAAAAACAGTTGACATTTAGAAATCAACATATTGTCTTTAACAAGATGGAGACAACTACTAGTATGCTAAGCTCTAAATTGCCCCGAGTATATAAAAAGTAGGGAATTATTTATTTAACAGAGACCTATTAAAACTCTGCAATCGGCATTAAATCCCCCAACACAACGGTTTTATACGACGATGGTCGAAAATTTTGTCCGACCTTAGCTTTTTAAAAGTCTGTTCATTTATATGGATTAATTAAGGGGTAGGGTTTTGAACATTTTTTATGATA